AGGAAGGAAGGAAGGACAGGATTTGAACTTCAAGAAGTAGGTGGGAGCTAGATCAGGTGCATGCTGGCTGGATGTGCTATGAAGGAGCCTAAACTTCAAGAATAAGGAGAAGCTGTGAAATAGGTTTTAAACAGCAGTACCACCTAATCTGCATAAAAAGGAACAGAATCGATTCAAGAGGGCACAGGTGGAAGCAGAGAGACCAGATGGCAGTCCTCTGTAATTGTCCACTCGAGAGATGCTGGGGGCTTATGCCTGGGGCTTGCGCCGGGGCGGTGAGGGTGGATATGGAGCTCTTTGCCCAGTTTTCTCCGTTTCTTTCCCTCGCTCTGCTTCTTTTTTTTTTTTTTTTTTTAAGATTTTATTTATTTGACAGAGACAGCGAGAGAGGGAACACAAGCAGGGGGAGTGGGAGAGGAAGAGGCAGGCTTCCCGCAGAGCAGGGAGCCTGATGTGGGGCTCAATCCCAGGACCTTGGGATCATGACCTGAGCCGAAGGCAGACGCTTAACGACTGAGCCACCCAGGCGCCCCTCCCTCTCTCTGCTTCTCTGTCCCCTCCCTGGGTCGTTGCCCCGCTTCTTTGTCTATCCTCCTTTCTCTGGGCCTTCCTCCCCCACCCCCTTCTCTGGACGTCTGTCCTTCCCTCTGAGTCTCTGACCCCTCTCTCTAGCCGTCTTGCCTTCATTTCACTGCCCCCCCTTTCTCTGAACCCTCCCCCTTGGGCTCTCAGTCTCCCCAGGGTCTTTGTCTTCCTCACTCTGGGTCCCCGTGCCCTTCTCTCTGGAGCTTTGTCGCTATCTGCTGGGCGTCTGTCTTCCCGAGACTGCCCCTGAATCTCCCGGTCTCTGTCTCCAGTGACCGTCTCTACGTCTCTGACTTTCTCTGCTAGGTGGCCGCTCGCCAAACGCCCAAGGTCCTAGGGTTCATTTCCCGGGGTGTCCCCGCACTCGCGGCTGATCTTCCACACCCCGGCTCCTGGGTCTTCCCTCCCTTAGCTCCGTGTCAGGACTGAAACAGACGCTGCTGGCCGAGTCGGGGGCCCTGACCAGCTACAGCCACCGGGTGTTCTCCGCCTGGGACTTCGGCCTCTGCGGGGATGGGCACGTGCGGCTGCGCCAGCGCAGCATCCTCTATGAGCTGCAGGTGCGCTTAGGGACCCGGAGGGGGCGGGGCCAAGAACACGGGCGGGGCTCCGAGAGACGCTGGGTGGAGCTTTCTTCTAAGGAGGCGGCCCTTGGGAAATGAGAGGGCTGGGAGGCGCCCACAATAGGGATACCTGACGTCAAAGCGTCCAGGAAAAAGCAAGCAGCGGGGAGGGGGCGGGGCCGGAAGCTCCTCCGTACGAGGCGAAGAGCTAGGCAGGGCCCGAAGGGGCTTGATAAAGTAGGACTGGAACTCCGCACCGGGCACGCGTGCTGGGCGGGGCCTCGGAGGGCGGGGTGTGGGGTGCTGGGCGGGGCTGTGGAGGGGCGGGGCCGGGAGATCTAAACTGTCCCCCAGAGGACCGTCGGGGGGACTCGGGCAAGGATTGTAGAAGCCCTTAGAGGAGTGTTGCTCTATTAGGTCCGGTTGAGCAGGGGGCTCTGAAACACCTGCAGGGCGTGGGGGAATTGAGCCCAAATGGACATCTTTCCTGGCCTCAGGTGGAGCTGGAAGAAGCTGTGGTGCGGCGCCAGGCCGCGGTACGGACCCTGGGCCAGCAAGCCCGGGTGTGGTCGGTGCGGATCCTGCTCAATCTGCTGGTGATTGCACTCCTGGGAGCAGCCTTCTATGGAGTCTACTGGGCTACAGGGGCCTCTGTGCGGCTGCAGGTGTGGAGGGTCCTGGGGGAGGAGAGTCCTGTGACCCCGGCACTTTTCCAAGGTTGGAGGGGACTGAAGTCTATAATTCCTGGGCTCTTAGGAGGGAAGGGGGCGTACGTTTGAACCTTGGACTTCGGGTGCTGGAGGAAGAAGAGGCTGGGGGAGGATGTTTAGCAAGGTTCTGGAGGACCAGAACCCCAGGGTCTCTTTGCTTGGTCCACCCTTTCTCCCAGGAGGTGCCCCCTGTCCAGCAGATGCCACTGCTAAAGCTCGGGGTGGATTTCCTTCCGTCCATCTTCATCTCTGGGGTCAACTTCTTGCTGCCACCTGTGTTCAAGCTCATTGCCCCACTGGAGGGCTACACCAGGAGCCGCCAGATTGTTTTTGTCCTGCTCAGGTTCTAGCCTTTGGGGGTGTGCTAGGGATGATAGCAGGGCTGGTCTGAAGGACACGGGTTCTAGTACATAAGGCACGGAAATCCCCAGAACACGGGACCCAGTGAGATCTGGATTCAAATCCTGCCTCTTGTTCACAGAGCCCAGGTTTCTTCATCTGTGAAGAGGGGAGAATTGTGAGCATGTTCCATGCAGCGGGGGGTGGGGGTGGCGGCAGGGTGACCACTGGTCGGTGCTGATTGCTTCTCCCTTCTCCTTGCCAGGACCGTGTTTCTCCGCCTGGCCTCCTTGCTCGTCCTGCTCTTCTCTCTCTGGAATCAGATCACTTGTGAGGGCAAGGCTGAGGCTGAGGAGTGCAAAACCTGTGGCTACAATTACAAGGAACTACCGGTGAGGAGAGGGGCCCCAAATCCTGGGTCTTTCAAGGACAGGAGGTGCTAGGCGGGCCCAGACTCCAGGTTTGAGAGGAAGGAGGAGCTCAAGGTGCTAGAACACCCTCCCTTTGAGGACAAGGTTACGGATGTTCCAAAAAAACTGAGCACCTTCCCCGCCCCGAAAGGATTGTTAGGATCTCACACGCTTGTGATTTGGAGACGTGGACGCTTGGGCCCCCAGGTGCCTGGGTCCTGAGGTCTTTCTGACCCATGACTTCCTTCCTCAGTGCTGGGAGACTCGGCTGGGGCAGGAGATGTACAAACTCCTGCTCTTTGACCTGCTGACTGGCGTGGCGATCATGCTGCTCATCCAGTTTCCTCGGAAGTGAGAGCCCCGCCCCTCGCAGTGCCCCCACCCCCTTTGCTAGCCCCGCCTCTGCTCCATTTCTTTGCCCTCGGTCCGCAGACCAGGCCCCCTGTTACCTAGTTACTTCCCTCTGGCCCCGCCCCTACCTCTAGCCCTCGGGCGTCGGCCTCTGGACACACACCCTCCAGGACTTTGAAAGCTCCACCCCTACTCAGATCTGCTCACTTCCCATTGGTGGGCGGGACGGCGGAGGCGGGGCAAGGGGGGGCCGCCGCGCGTCTGACTCGGCCCCGCCCTGTCCTCCAGACTGATCTGTGGCCTCTGTCCCGGGGCGCTGGGTCGTGTGGTGGGAACCCAGGAGTTCCAGGTGCCTGACGAGGTGCTCGGGCTCATCTACGCACAGACGGTGGTCTGGGTAGGGAGTTTTTTCTGCCCTTTACTACCTCTGCTCAACACGGCCAAGTTCCTGCTACTTTTCTATTTGAAGAAGGTGAGGAGTGTGGCGGATTCCTGGGTCCTGGAGGAGGAGAACAAGGGTCCCCAACTACTAGATCCTGAGAGAGGAGGGGTCTGGAGGACAGACTCCTGGATGTGGGAGGAGGGGTTTAGGGCGTCGTAACTTTTCCGTTCAAGGGAAGAGGGGACCCGGACTCCCGGGTCTGATGGCAGCAAAGGACTAGGGACTTCTGGTTCCTGACTGAGGAGGGACTAGGACTCCTGGATGATGAAGGACAGGCTAGGACTCAGAGTCTTGTGTCTCCTTCTCCTTACAGTTCACCCTTTTCTCCACCTGCTCCCCAGCTTCCCGCACTTTTCGGGCTTCCACAGCGAATTTCTTTTTCCCCATGGTCCTTCTCCTGGGTCTGGCCGTCTCCGCTGTTCCCGTGCTTTACAGCATCTTCCTGTAAGTGGGAGAGGCGCCTGCCCCTCCCTCCCTCCCTCCTCATCCAGGATTCTGAATCTTGGCCATCTTTGAACACTGCCCGTCTCTGCCCTCTTCAGGATCCCACCTTCTAAGCTGTGTGGTCCATTCCAAGGGCATTCGTCCATCTGGGCCCAGATCCCTGAGTCTATTTCCAGCCTCCCTCAGACCGTACAGAACTTTCTATTTTTCCTGGGGACCCAAGCTTTTGCTGTGCCTCTTCTGTTAATCTCCAGGTGAGGGAGCCCAGACTCCTGGATCTGAGTTTGTGTGCCCTGGGGGCCCCCTATTTCTAAGGGAGGAGGGGGCTGGGGGCCTGGACTCCTGGGTCTCAGGGAGGAAAAGCTGGGGGTCCAGATCCCGGTGTCTAAGGAGCCATTACATTGAAGATATTCTAAGAGAGTTCTGGCTTCCATTTCTGTCTCCTCTAGCATCCTGATGGCATATACCGTGGCCTTGGCTAACTCCTATGGACGTCTCATCTCTGAGCTCAAACGCCAGATAGAGACCGTGAGCCAGACCGGGTTCGTGGGAAGTGGTCCTGGATATGGAAAGAAATAGGGGGGAAAGGTCTGTCTCACCTCCACTTCTTTACCCTTTACTCAGGAGGCGCGGAATAAGGTCTTCCTGGCGCAGCGCGCTGTGGCCCTGAGCTCGGCCAGCGGGGCTCCTTGACCTCCCTTGGTCAGGACGACGTCCCACTTTCAGTCCGGACCTGCCCCCGGACCCTTTGTAAGCCTCCGGCGCGTCATCTCTAAAAGGGGAGAACTTGAGAAGACCCCAAGCCCTTACAGCCCTGGGATTCGGAGAGTCCCAGGGCCCTGAAGTCCCCCAACCCTGCCAAGTCCCTTACTCTCCAGTTAACCTCGTGTATCAATAAACTCAGCTGAGGCTACAGAGCAGTCTTTATAATTTGCATCCCGAGGCTGGGGGGTGGGGGAAGAGCCAGACACAGGCCAATCAAATGTATTGGCCTCGAGAAGACATGACGGGCATGCCAGCCAATCAGCGGCCGCGTCCGGTAGCTTCGGGGCGGGGACACGTGATGGGCTCAGAACCTTGGCGAGAGGCGGTCGCTAGGCTACACCAACCCAAATTCGGCGTCTCAGCCAATCAGCTCTCGCTACGGACCTGGGGGGCGTGGCATCCAGCCCAGGACCAATCCGTGGCTGAGGCAGGAACAACAGGGAGGGGCATCCGCTCGCCAACAGGAAGTGCTCGGAGGCGAGCCTGCCAGTCGGCGGACGGCTACGACGCCATGAATATCTTGCCTAAGAAGAGTTGGCACGTCCGGAACAAGGATAATGTCGCCCGCGTGCGGCGTGACGAGGCTCAGGCCCGGGAGGAGGAGAAAGAACGTGAGCGGAGGGTGCTGCTCGCTCAGCAGGAGGTAAGCCCGAGTGCGGTCGGGCGGGACTCCCGGGCCGAGCGCGCACGCGCGTGGGAAGGGGCCGGAAGCGGGGGTGGTGCGCAGGCGCAGTGCGTCCGGTGAGGTTGGAGGAGCTGGGCGTGGCTGGAAGCGCGGAGGGGGGGGGTCCCCTGCACGGCCCCCCCGACCTGGGCGGGCCCTCCGCCTCCCTCTTGCCCTGGTGTCCCCTATTCGTGTAGTTCGCGAGGCCTGAGTGTGCCTGGCACAGTAGGGGCTGGTGAAAAAAGTGAACCCTTGCTCAGTTCAAGGAAACTCGGGCCCCTGTTTAGTTTGCCTGAACAACCTCCCTGTTGAGCGCCTACTGTATGCTCCATCGGTGCAGAGTGCTTGACCTGCGGTCTCTCAAGCACCGTTCGTGCTTGAGGGGCGCTGTCCTCCATGGTGCAGAGAAGTGGGCTGTTTCTGAGGGAAGGGACAGTGGGACACCCATCCCGCTGTGGGGCGAGCCCTGTCCCTGCTCCCCTCCACCCGCCAGGGGCTTTGTCTAACTCCTAATCTCTAGTTTTCGGTCCTTGAGCGAATCTGGTCCTCACCTGAACTTTAGAAGTTCGCTTTTGTCAGCAGAGATTGCACGTCGTCTTGGGAGCAGTGACTGGAGTCCTGCCTGTAGTTCTGGTCGCCTGTTCTCCTGTTTTGGGCTGTCTTCCTAGCTGTTTTTGTTGTGTCACCCGAGGTTGGGAACTCTTGTGGCTGACCGAGAGGCAGTGTACAAGCCCAGGTATCACCTCATTCTCCCACCGTCTCCCCCGGGCAGGGGCAGGTGTCTGCTGGGCTCCCAGGGCCCACGCACCCTTCCTTACAGCCCCCAGCACCAACACTGGGGTTCTCTGTGCTTGGCGCCAGTCTCACAGTTCCTGGAGTCACGTCTAGGTTCTGAATTCTCTGCCTGTACCTTTCTTTTTCCCAGGCCCGCACAGAATTCCTACGGAAGAAAGCCAGGCACCAGAACTCACTCCCCGAGCTCGAAGCAGCAGAGGCGGGAGCCCCGAGTTCTGGCCCCGTGGACCTATTTCGGGAACTGCTGGAGGAAGGGAAAGGGGTGACCAGTGGCAATAAAGAGTACGAGGAAGAAAAGCGGCAGGAGAAAGTAAGCCGGCCCCCCACCTAGTCAGTTCTGCGTAGAGCCTGGGGTGAATGATGGGAACAGAGCGGTGGGAGGGGAGGAAACGAGCTACTACAGAGAACGCGGTATGGAACACGGCACTCAGGAGTGCGGGTTACTGCCATCCAGGGCTGCAGGGGCTTGGAAGTGGGTGCCGGAGCCCCCTCCCTCTCCCCCCCCCAGCTGTGGGACTGTTAGGTACAGATCCCTGTAGAGGTTTGGGAGCTCTTTCAAGGTCAGTCAGAACCTGGGGTCCTGTCGCTCACCTGTTCTCAGGGATTCCCACCAAACCCTGAACTTGCCTTTGTCTCGTCTCACTCCTTTGCCCTGCTGGCTGCTTTCAGGCTTGTCCTCACGTCATCTCCCCAACGTTGCCTGCCTCTGAACCCTAAAGCAGCTGCACCCCCCTTCCCCCCCCGTGCTTGTTACTGAACCCACCGTCGTGCCCAGGGCAGGAGCCCCACCTGTCCTTAGCACACGGCAGGGCTGGCTCACGCTGGTTCTGCCTGTCCAGGAGCCTCGGGTGTCCTGTCGTCACGCGGAGGGCTCCCCGAGGGGAGACCTGCTTGACCTCCTCACCTCCCTAGTTTCTGTCCCCCTCAGGAGAGGCAGGAGCAAGCTCTGGGCATCCTGACATACCTGGGCCAGAGTGCAGCGGAAGCCCAGACTCAGCCGCCTTGGTACCAGCTCCCCCCAGGGCGAGGGGCCCCCCAACCCGGCCCAGGTCCAGACGAGAAGATCAAGAAGCGCCTGGACCCTCTGCGGGAGATGGAGAAGCATTTGAGGAGGAAGAGAGGGCACAGCAGTGATGACCGTGGCCGCAGCAGAAAGGGGCCGGAGGGGCCGGAGAAGCAGCGGCCGGAAGCGTAAGGAAGCTGGGCCGGCCGTATGGGCACCAGGTCCGGGGCTGGGCGGCTGGAGGCGGCTCTCAACATGCAGTCGTGGGGCCCCGGCGCCTGTCCGGGGGGCTGCAGAAGCAAGCCTGCTTTCCTGAGAGCCCCAGGCAACGTGCACTCGGTCTCGGGTGTCCAGTGGCTTCCCGGGCGACAGTGTGGGGACAGACAGGCTTCCGTGCAGAACAGTGATGAAACCCACTGAGACCTACAGCTTTCTGGGGGCCAGAGTTTCAGAGCCATGGGGTCAGGCAGAGCAGGTTACTGCGTCCCGAGCTGGACAAACCCGAGCAGCTGGTCTTCCACGCAAGGGGAGACTGAGGCCCTGGGTGTGCTCACTGTTACGGCTGATTAACAGTGGGCTTTCTCGAGCTGGAGGGGCACCCCACTGTAAGGAGCGGGGGGTGATGGGAGCCCCAGAGCCTTGTGCGCAGCACGAAGCCAGCTTCCCACTCCCAGGCCGCACAGACCAGAGCATGTCTGCCCGGGGTTGGGGGGAGGCCTCCAGGAACTCCAAGCTTTCTGAGCTTTCTGACCTGACTCCTCTCCCCAGCCCCCTGGCCCTGGGCCAGCTCCGAGCCGAACGTCTGCGGCGGGAAGCGACGGAACGTGCTCGGGCGGAGGCCCTGCTGGCGCGAGTGCGGGGCACAGCCCCCCAGAAGGACCAGCCCGAAGAAGAGGCCGACGAACGGCGGAGGCCGTACAACTCCCAGTTCAACCCTCAGTGGGCCCGACGTCCTGCCGGCAACACCCAAGCGCTCACTGACTGCGGGGGGGGGAGGAGAGGCCGCAGCTGCCAGCCGTCATATAAAACTATTTATTCATAAATATTTTCCAAAATGAAAATAGGTTTACCAAAAAATGTCCCTCACTGGGGAGGGGAGGAGGGGGCAGCCCTTGCCCCCAGGCCCCCAGGGTGGGGCTGCTGCCTGGGGGCGAGGGCTGCCCCATGGCCTGGGGCCTCCCCCAGTCTTCCAGGGCAGGGCCCTCGCCTGGGCAGGGGGGTCAGCATGCGGGGGGGAGGGGAGGGTGGAGGGAGGAGCCGGTGTCACTGGAGGTCCCGGTCCTCCAGGTAGCGGTACTCAAAGGTGAAGCCTTCCTTCTTCCGCTGGCCCCACTTCTCGTAGTCAAAGTAGATGTAGGTGCCCTGGCCAGGGGAGAAGGTGGTCAGTGCGCGGGCGAGGACGTGGCCGGGGCTCCGGGCCGGACCGACAAAGGGGACAGCTCTCAGGGCCGGGGCGTGCCAGGCTCCAGGCCCAGCGCCCTGCATGCATGTGCCGTCTCCCTCCACCCTCCCCGGGCTCTTCTCAGGCGGGAAAGGTCGTCCTGTGCGCTCTGGAGGAAACGGGGAGGCGCGGAGAGGCCACGGCTGGGCCTCAACCCCGGGCACGTTCACACAGTGGCTATGGCTTCTCGCGGCGGCGTTTGAGCACAGAGCCGGCGCTCAGCCCTCGAGCTGGGTCCTAGCACTTAGTCTTCACACAACCCTGAGGCCGTGACCCCATCCTAGAGAACGGAACAGGCTGAGGCTACATCCAGGCACGCTGTTGGGACAGATGTTTTATTGGAGGCAGGGTGGGTGCGCACTTCTGAAGGAATGAGGTCTTGACACGTACTTGGAGGGTTACTTTGGCCCAAACCAGGATGGGACAGGGAGTCTGGTTAGTGTGCGAGAGGACACGGGGAAGGGGGCCGGGTCTGCGTGAGTGTCTGAAATGCGGCAAAGAACGTGAAAGAACCGAGGGGAGGGGGCCGAGTTCTCGGAGGACAAGGGCCTCGCTCAGGACTTGGCGTCAGCCAAGTATGTGGTGGAAGAAGCCACTGTGGAACATAGCCACCAAGTTACTGGAAACGAAGTACACGCCTGATACTTACTACGGAGCAGGCACCGGAAGTACTTACACGTCAGTAACTCATTTAATCCTTGCACACGTGCACACAGGGGTCTGCTACCCGTGTTTACACATAAGGACAGGGACACCGGTCCAAGCGACTTGCCCCAGGTCACCCAGCAGGAACTGGGTTCAAGCCCGTGTGGTGTGGCTCCAGAGTGGGGTGCAGCAAGGGGGAGATTCTTATCACCACCACGTGGGGAGTCGTTAAGAAAATCGCTTCCCCCTTCGTGGTCGCTGCGGAGCCCCTGCCCTGCCGGGCGGAGGGGACACGGGACGAGGGAGCGGCGGTCGAGGACAGAGGCCCCGGCAGAGCACGGGGCGGGCAGGGCACAGGGAGGGGCCCTCACCTGCTCAAACTCATCCGTGATGGTCTTGGGCTCCTCGTGCCTCTGGAACCACATCATGTACTTGGTGTGGAATCGCCACGACTGCTTCTTTAGGGCTTTGGCTGCCAGGTACTGCGCCTTCGTGCCCTGGGGGAGGAAGTGTGGAGCCGGGGATCAGGGGGCCCCCAAACTGGTGGGGCGAGGGGCACAGGGCTGACCCCAGGCCCCGCCGTGGACCGGGGCTGGGCTGGAGGTTGGGCCGGACAGTCCAGGTGGAGAGGGGCTGGGGCACAGAACATACCACTGCTGGTCAGGAGGAGGAAAATGCTTCCACAGAAGCTTTGAGAAGGAAGAAAAACTACTGCATGTGGGGAGTTTGGGAAGTTTTCCCGCGGGGGGCGGGGGGCGGGGGGGCTCGTCGGGACTCCCTGGGGTCATGCAGCGGGGCTGGCACTGTGCACACAGCCGTGGGCGGCCGGGGTGGGGCTGGGGCTCCCCGGCCCCTAGCCTCAACACGGACGTGGACGTGTCTGTGCTGACGTGGGGACAGGGACACGGCTGCTGGGGTGGG